TGGAACGTGGGGAGACTGCCTGGGCTGACTGTGACTGGGCCTGGGAGCACGGGACAGTGTATTATAGTTTTTGTGGGGTAACGCTGGGGACTGTCTACGCGAGGTACTTATGGGCTGGGACAATGTACCATAGTTTTTTTGGGGGGGGTGATGTTGTGGACTGCCTACATGGGGTACCTATGTGTTGGGACAATGTGTCGAGGGTTCTAAGGGATAATGGGGCTACCAACTATATGGGGGCAAGCAAGAGTTCTAGGGAAGCCTCCAGAGCCGCAAACGGGAGTGGAAGGGAATGCGTGTGGGTACCGTGATTGTTATGTATGAGCAGGGCCAGACAAGAAGAAGGAAGACAGCAAGAAAAAAAATGGAGTTTGGGAATGAAAATGACGGTAATGCAATTAACAGGCCGGAAGAGGGACAATCGTCAAGGCAAGCTGGAGAGTCAAGCTCCAGGAAAAGGAAGTTGTATGTGGGGTTCGATCACAACCTAGTTGTGAACAGGGGGGGTAGAAACCAAGGAACCAGAGGGTCGTCACCACTAAAGGAAGGGGAGCCAATAGAGCTGCCTTCAGACAGTGATCCTAGTAGTAAGGAAGAGGGGAACCCAGAGGAAGGACAACGGCCGGGAGAGAGTGAGCCCGTTGAGGTCATTGACCTCACCAGCGACGAGGAGGAAGATGAGGTAACAACGCCCATAAGGGAAGATCGGGGAAGAGAGAAGGATCCAGGGGAAGAAAAGGACCCATGGAAAAGAGAATTCGGGCCAACTTTTAGCGATTGGTTCGATCAATGGGCCAGTATTTTGCGTTATCAGTGGGCTATGAAGGGCAAGGAAAAGTTGAACAGGGGAGAAGACGTATCCCCAACAACCTTCTTTTCAGAAGAAACGCTTCGTCATCTGCAGACGATAAAGAGGCTAATGGAGCAAGAGATGGAGGACTGGGCAAGGAGGGAGGCTCGACGCAGGGCACCGGGACAGTAAAAGGGGACAGCAGGCATGATGGGAATAGCTGGGAATCGGGGAAGGGTTGGTAACCGGGCAGCAAGAACTGTCATCTTTCCTTTTGCGCATTTGAACTTCTTTCCGAATGAACTATGATGGGACAGTTGCTAAGCTCGAAGCGGCTAAGGACTGGGTAACGAATGCTACTTCATATAAGTCGTTGCTTCTTCGGAAATGGGCACGAGAGTTTTTTGCACTTAGAATAAAACTGTGGATCGCTGGGATGGCTAAGGGAAAGTAAGGGAAAAACAAAGGGAACTAGATGAGACGAGTCTGTATGTTGTCTTGCATTTGGACCTTGTCTCCTCGTTTTCTTCTTAGAAAGACTGCGATGTAACCACCTTTTGGATTGAAGAAACTAGTAGGGGGTGGGTGACCGGTGCTACTTTGTATGAGTACCTGCTCCTTTTGGGAAACATGAGCCTTTTGTCATAAGAAAGGGACTCGGGGTGATTGACTTTGTCTCAAGGAGATCAGCAAGGGCATGTGAACCCTTGAATATTGGAAGAAACGCCGATGACAAAAAACTTTCTCTTTGAATTGTGTACCCATGGTTGAATGAGTCGTTGCACGAGTCCTTGTGAGAGGTTAGGGGACCTATGGGTAGAGAGGCACCCTCTCCCCTAGGAGCCTAATCCAACCTACCCCAAGCAATCCCAGAGCATTGAGAAGCATATGAGAAGTCAGAAAAGTGGCAGGGAAACATTGAAATGATACAACACCCCTTGCAATGGTTGAACGGCCGAGCGGGCTAGTGCTGCTTGGGGCCGCTAGCCTCAACTTGAGTACTAGACGCTAAGTCGGATGTATGGATGGATGTAAGAATGACAAAAGACATGAGGAAAAGGAAGAAGCATGCGTAAAAACCCAAGACGATGGCCACCCTCTAACCCCCAAGACGAGATCGGATCCGTGTCCTCGAGGCCCACCCCCTCGGGCGCTAACATTGCAATGGACAAGGATGACCCTAACCAGGCTGTTCAATTGAAATGGACAAGGATGGCCCTAATCAGGTTGCCCAATTGAAATAGATAAGGATGGTCCTAACCAGGCTGCTCGACTTGGAATTGGAAAGAACGACCCTAACCAGGTTGTTCGGAATGGCCCCTGACAAGGGTCATTCTTTGGAATTGGCACTAGGGTCCCTTTGCATGGCTGCTTGTGATGCATGGAATTGGAAGAGCGAAGCTTTGGAAAAGAGATTGGAAGAGTTTAGCCTTGGAAAAGAGATTGGAAGAACTCAACCTTGGAAAGGATATTGGACTCAGCCCTGGAAGAAATATTGGATTGAGCCTTGGAATTGGGTTGAGCACTGGACTGAGATTGAGCATAAGAATGAGACTAAGCATTGGAATTGGATTGAGTATTGGAAATTGCATTACATAACCAGGGGACCCTAGGCAACTCGAAATGGACTTGAAAGAGTTGTGAAATGGATTTTTTTTTTTCTTCTAGTCTTTGGCCTCAGCAAGAGGGGGATACCGGTGCATGCACCGAGAACCCAAGACCTCTATCCCTTTGAGGGAAAAAGTCTCAGCGCGACCTGTTCCTCTTCAAGAGGGTAAGGGTTAAAGGACTAAGGCAGCCACCACATGGATCGGTGCGGAACGTCCGGAACCACCTCCGACAATGAGCTCTAGTCGGGGAGTTCCAACTGCGCCTCCTGTTGAACACCTAAACGTCAAAGGGCGAGAGAGCCAAATGGGTAGGAAAACCATCCTCGTCTAGTCTATTTTGCTACTCTCCAACCACACGCCATGTCATAGAGGGGTGCCATGGCCGTTTGGGTCGGACCACGGCTGCTCGCGCTAAGTTGGGCGCCACTGTCCAAGGGGAGAGGCTGGGCGAGGTACCGGGTGGAGTCCGCCACCACCACGGGGCATTGACACTGCCCTGCCGGAACATTACAACCGTTTCGGGACTAATTGCGAGGTCTTCGTAACTGCACTCGCGGACTGATCGAGAGCCCCAACTCTCTTGAAAGAAAGAGGCCGGAATCCAGAAAATTACCACTTGGGAAGAACGATTCGCGAGGAACGCTCTTACGGCTAGACGAGGCCCTGGCAGGCTTGGACTGGACCTACCTGGCAGACGTGAGGAGAAATCTTGGTATTGGTGCTCGCCACGTAAGAGAAGAAAAGTCGGACCGGGTAGAAGGATGAGGCGTCGTCCGCTGGGGAAGAACTGATCACTCTTCCTTTTGTGAAGTGGATGGGCTTGTGTCCTTGACTTGCGGTCGGCGGGCCAAAGGTCTGCGTACCTCCGAGTGAGAACCAGTCGCGCGATGGGGACATCGCGTTTTGAGTGGGGGGAAGGTGTGCCGTCTACCAATGAATACTCGTGAAAATAAGACTTGTAATTGGTCTTGGGAAAAAGGGGCCTGTCAAAATGGCCGGAACAGAAAAAGATTGTAATTGACTTTGTATGGGCCTGAGAAAAGGGGGCCTGGCAAGACGCCAGAGCAGAAAAGACTTGAGTAAGTGACATGGTATAAACTTGAGAAAATGGCTTGGCAAGATAGCCAGGAAGGAAAGGGCTGGTGTGATTGATTCTGCATAGACCCAGGAAAGGAATGGACAGACTGAGAATTGGCTGTGTAATTGGCTCGTATAAGCTTGAAAAGATGAGAAGTGGCTGAGGGGTGAGCCAAGCAATCCATATGGAGAGTCAAGTATGTAAAGGGCAAGAAAAGGCAGAGGATGATATGCATGCGGAATTGGCAGGACCTGAGAAAGGCCGAGAGGAATGACCCGGGAAGGATGCATGTGGATTTGGCTATGTCTGAGCTTCGGGGAGAGGAAAAATTGTATGAGTGGATGTCCTAAGAGTAATGAATGAGACAAAGTCAAAATGATTTTTGCTCTAGAATGTTTTTCAATGAAATGGGAAGATAGATTTGAGATTACGAATGCAGCCTTCAAGACATTGTCAAGAGCGAGAAATAACGTACAATGAAAAACTAGCTGCAGGGCATGTCTGTGGTCAGACCCCTCCAAGGGGCGATGCTAGTCAACTTGATAAGGAAAAGAGACATCAAGATGCTTAAGCTCCTTGACGTGTTGCTAGCTCGCACCTGGAGGAAGCCATGGCGAATGATCCTTGTGACATTCGCCGCCAAAATCTTCCCCATGGTCCCTGGGGAGGGTGATGGGCTCGTCGTCCTCTCTTTTGTGGGATGACACCGGAGGTTGGTGGGAAGCTCTTGGGTATTCGGGAGTTCCAGTGAGAAAGAGATATAGCTGTGAGACGGACGTTGATGCACAGAGAGTGTCACGCGCTCGTTACAAAGACATTATTGAGCTTGGGGACGTTACGCAATTCAAAGGAAACCCGAAACAAAACCTTGACCCCTCCATGCCCTCCCCTGCCGCAAGGGCGGAAACTTAAAGAAGGACCCGAGAAAAGTGTGGGAAAGACGAAAAGAACCCTGGCAAGCTAACTACCCATCCCACCCCATCTCTCTTCCCTAGTTGTCTATCACTCCAAAATTCCTACTGACCATGGATTGGTGCGCGATGAGGACATCACGAATGAGTGGGGGGAATATGTCGGGACTGGTGAGTCCCGAATGACTTCCCGTCACTCGAGAGACTGTATATGACCAATTTGTGCACGACAGAGAAAACCGAAGGCAGGTATGCTGGAAAGAGCGGAAGCATGGGCACGGACAGTAGGAAGCCAGAGGCTGCCAAGAGTCGTCGGGGCCGCCAGACTAGAAATGGGTTGGCTAAGCAGAAAGCGGCAAAAGGACTGTGAGAGAACAGCAGGGGCGACTCCTTCCCCAAGGACGGAGAAGGGCCGCCAGGAAGTCGGTAGTAGCATAGGAGGTGTGCAACAAGGGAAGGGAGGAAGTGGGAAGGGACAGGGCACAAGGCGCTGACGCAACGCGACGGCAGGAGGGCCAGGGAGACCGCAGGGTAGGTGGGAGCCGACACCCGGAACGGAATAGCATGCGGGACGCAATAGGAGCGGAAAGCGGAGGTCACTGGAAGGCAGAAAGACGTCAGGGGCACCAAGGAAAGACGTGGTACAGGCGGGGCAGGAGTGCCGGGGACCACATGGGATCGAAGGACGGGGCGGTACCAGCAGGACAAAGCGCCGGGGACCACGCAGGACTAAGGGACGGCGTGGTGCCGGCAGGGCGAAGTACCGGGAACCACGTGAGACCAAGGGAAAGACGTAATGCAGGCAGGCCGAAGTGCCAGGGACCGCGTGGGCCTAGATAAAATGACGGCACCAACGGAACCACTAGCACATTGGGTATCGACGGAATAAAAAGTTTCAGGAGCCGCCGACAGGGATTGTCGACAGAACGGAAAAGACGAGCGCGAGGCGGGAAAAACGGAGGGCACCTGGGGCAACCCAAGGGGGTCCTGGATCAAATGGGACGACAACAGAAATAAAGAAGCATGACGTCAGGTGGATGGGACCAGACGGGCCGGGGAGTCCGGATGGGAACGTTAAGTGCCGCCACGGCAAGCGCCGGCGGGAGGTGCCGAGGGGAAAAAAAAAGATGGAGTAGCAGCAGTAAGGGGGGGGCGGCCAGCAGTCCGAGTATCCCGGACCAGCCAGGCGAAGAAAAACGAAGTTCCGAGGGCTCCACGTGGAAAAAAGGGCTGGCCTGAGAAAATCGGAGCAAGGGGGTCTCAAACTGGAGGCGGCGGCAACAAAAAGGAACCCCCTTTGGCCTTGGGGGTGCCACTACTGCAGTCCGAAGTGCAACGGCCATATGCGAGCTGCAAAATCGGACCTTGGGAAAGGTCCGACAACTAGAAAGAGGAGAAATAGTTGTTGGACACTTGTCCCAACAGTAAATGAGAAAAGAAAGGAGGAAAAGGGGGGAGAATGAGACAAAGGAGGAGGAAGGAGTGGAGGAAAAAGTGCCGCCAGGTTGGGACTGCAGCGGTGGGGACTGGCAGGTCTCAATGATGACCTCATCCCTCCTAGATCCTAGGAGGGCAGTCCGGATTGCAGAGATAAGGTCCTTGGGGCATTATCTCTGC